TTGTAAAACGTGCCTTGTGTGTACCATGCTGGGAAAATGCGACAGATAAAAATAACTGCCTTCCTCGAAGCCCGAGCCTCTACGACCTGACCCCTTACAAATAGCGTGAGGGTGCTATATTTACTGAGGTTATTAATCAGGTCATCAAATCGTAAAAATGTGACAAAATATATACACTTAGCAAAATATAAACACCCCATGTGGATTACTTATGTAACTTGTAATTGGGTAAGGACAGTTATCTGTAGCACATTGAACAATTAATTTCGTATGATTATATATATAGCCGTAATGCTCATAAAACGTTTAAAGTATTGCATGTACGTGATGCGTTAATATTATTTTGCTCAGCGAAGATTTGCTAGCGAAGATTTGAAAAGCTTTCAAAATACACTTGCACGTGTGTGTGTGTGTGTTTGTGTGTGTGTACTTATTTACAATGGTTTGACATTTGATGAATATTCATACAGTGACTACGTCGATTTAGTCACTGCCCAGTCCGTTAATAATACTGGCCTTCTGCACCATTCTCTGAATGGGCTTCTCGACAAATTGTACGTGGCATTGACAGACTAAGGCACAGATATCAAGAAAAATATAAGTAACTGTGTTATAAATGTTATATTATAGCATATCAATTAGAAGACTTACTGAATTTCTATTTTGATGAATCTTTTGACGAAAAAATAACTATATTTTTTTCGACTCACAAAAGCCTAATCAAATGCCCCGGTATTTACATATAGGCCTACATTCCACTTTACTATATTCTACGAGTACAAATTAATTCACTTTATGGGAGTAGTACATGTAGTTAAAATAGTAGTAGAAGTAGAAAAGAACCTCAAATGATCGATGCATTCTGTATAAAATACCAACCAAGGTTTTGCAATGATTTTATACATTTTAAGATTTCAGCTTCCTCGCGCACTGAAGCAAATAAGACTTGAGCATTCAATTAAAAGGGCTATTAACTAAAAAAAGAAAATGAAAATGAAAATAGAAAATGTTTTTTTTTTTTCGTTTTTCCTGGCTTTTCTTGTGTGTTGCTAGGGTTAATTTTGGTGTCAACTAACAAGCTGTGGTGTGAACTACTGCCATTTTTTTCAGGACCATGGGCACAGGTGTCGTGCAGTCGTGCAGTCGTGAGACCTCTGGCGGAGGGAGCTACTGACTGTGAGCGGTGCAGTGGTTTGTTTACAAACAGCGGGGTGCACATGTTCAAGTAATGCCATTAAGAAAGTTAGTCTGATGTCAGTATATTTTGTGTCATTGGGAGTTATGTCAGTGTGTCTGCTATCTATGGGGATGGGAAATGTTTCACCCAGTTATTTTGTTCATGCAGGTGTAGGGAGTTGCTGATTCATCGAGACCTAGTTATTATTCCACAGCTAGAGCGCAGGCGCTAATTCTAAGATAAGGTTTTGTTTATCCAAAGTCGATGAAGTTACATGTGAGATACACTGTATCTACACGTGTTGAGGATCTTTTGTTATTGGATAAATATGTTTTCTAATTAATTTTTTTCTGTTTGATTCATTTTACAACCCTGGGCCTCTCTTACTGCTGAATGACAGCTAGTGGACTACTGGTTACGCATCTCTCTATCAACTAACACATACACTTTTAAATTTTAGGGTTAATATGAAGTAGCCCAAAACTCAGAAAACTGACTTGAGAACAGAGCAGAACATACGGGCAATTAACAGCACGAAGTTTTATCAAGCTAAGAAATAGTTAAAACAAAAGTTATGCAACAAAGTGTTATCATAATTAGGCGCCTGTTACACTGTAGACTGAGTGTGCTCATTCCCACTGAAATAATTGTTCTAAGTAGATCGATCAAACTCTGCAGGTGCTCTCGGCCAAGGCAATCAGTTTAACAGATTAGCGCGCCTCCACTTATTTCTAACGTGTTTGTATGATCACCGGATTTTTCTGTATTCTACTCAGCACCATTGATCGATTCATGTAGAACGAAAGTTTGATTAGAAATGAACCCTTACGTTATCAGTGTTCAGTCTGATAAAAATAGATAACCGACTTCGAAACGGGAATGATTGACCCGAAATAAAAATATATGTCATTGTATGTCAACTGCCAAGTCTGAGATCAAAAACTGTGAAATCAACCACATATTTTAACAAATAAAATTGATTCTCTAAGATTTTTACTAATCAGTGGGCTAAACCTTAGTCTTATGGACGATAAGGATTAAGAACAGAAAGAAAAAAAAACTTTTTTGTGAAAGGTGACCTTGGCATCTCAGCTCGTTGATTGATTTAAAACCTGTAAGAAATAGAGGGAAGGCGGTGGGCAGTAGTCCATCCGATAGCTACGTGAATTGAGGTCTTGGGAGTAATTTTAAGTCCAATATAATGTACAGATGGATCTGATCAGAGTGGTGCCAGCGGGAAAGACCCCCCCCACCCCCCACCCACACACACACACGCCGTCTGAAAACAGATTTAGATAAGGAGCGATATATTTCAGTAAACTGTGCACGTTTATATATAGCTATTGACAGCAATTGTCCTGTTATGTTAAATCATTCATTGGGCAGATTTGTTTCCCTTCCCTCTAACTTGATTGAAATATCACGATCCTGCCTGTAATTTTCCTTCCTTTTTTAAAATTTCACATGCATCTCTCACTTACTCCAATATCAAGTCCACGTTTTAAGTTTCCTCCAGTTTATAGAATAATAACAATAATGCATTTACTTAAAGTGCTCTACCCATTATTCAGTAGGGTTTACAACATATAATATTAATAAAAGTTTATAGGTAAGAGTGATAAATAGATATATAGAATGATAAGTACATGCATGTTACAAACGAGTGTACGTGTTTTAATTCTTTTATTTTTTTTCATTTAACGCTTTAATTTGCCTACGGAATTTCTTCTTTTGCTTTAATGCACACCCTGGGTTCGGAGGACACGAGCAATCCGTTCTCCACTATCTTGGGTGGGTGGGACTGATGGTAGATAGATGAGTTCCCAGTGTCGCTTGAAACTCAGGGTGTCACAAGGGCACTTCCAAGAAATCAAGATAATGAGGTCATATCGCGTACGCGCCCCTCACATGACTCAAACGCGATGCTGATTGGCTAGTATTGGGGTTTCGATCAAGTGGACCTTGATCGATGCGTCATTTGGGCTGGGCAGGACGACATGATCCAGTCATGATAATCGCGCAGTTTTAAAATCGAAGGTAGGTACCATATCATTATCATAAGTAGTTCTGTACTAGCATGACTTTTATATGAAACAAAGAAGAAGGGGCCTGAAAGGATCACTTCCGTATGATCTCAGCATTTCTTTCGCATAACATTAAACACACACACACACACACACACACACACACACACACACTGTGGATATGTGCAACGCGCCTTATACAGTTTTTGTTTGACAAAGATTGCATTGGTTCTCCATCCACGTTAACTACATCCTCATAAAATCATTTAAGTATTAATAAATGTTTTCTCTTTTAGTATATGTATCATCATTCACATTGGTCACGTACATTGCATAGATGAAATTGAAAATATGCAATGTATTTTACAATTGCTCTGTGATGCAATTTTAGTATAAAGGTTAACGTTATCATTGTTTATGAATATGTTTACAACACTGACCGAAAAAAAAAATTATTTCAGTGATCAATGCTTAAATAAACACAATATCAAAGAAATATGTTTTTAGAACGCAGTATTGATTAGCAGATACTATTTTTCAACGTAAGGTATTGCATCATCTCGTGCTGCCAAATATTTATTAGACATATTTTTATTGAAAATCAATTCAATTATTTCTGATTTTTTTTTCAAAATCTATGTGACATAAACTTCTACCCCTACATGATTCTTGTGACTTTTCCATGTTCACTTACTTCAATTTGTTTTTCTGTGGATCAAAAGAAAATAGAAGCCATCTGTCATTAAGTTACCTGCACTTTTATTTATATTCGTGATATCATTGTACTTCTAGGATGCGTGTTGTTGTTTCCCGCTTTTTTGGCTTGCAATCGCCAAGGTCACATTACCCACCGCAAGATATCTAAGGCAAAGTCCGTAAGTGTTATCTATATTTTTCTTCTCAGAACTACAGAAATCCTCATTGTGTGGCGTAATATGTTGTTTAGATTCTACCCACCAGGTATTTTTGAATTAATTGGCATATATTACACATTACAAACTATACACGAGTGTTTCAGATATAAATGATGAGTGCCGATAACCATTGGCAAAGTGCCCATCGTCAATTTTTTTAAATAATTTTATATTATAAAGATTATGTATATATTTGTTGCGTGAAAAAATATTATTTGGTTTGAGGCATTGAGGCATCGTAACTTAGTATTTTTAATGAGTTATATGTGGGGGGGGGGGGGGGGGGGGGGTAGCCAGATTTACCTGTTGTATGCAGTCTAATGAATCAGAGCAACTTGTTTCAGCATATATATTACATAAATGATTTTTTTCTAATGAAACTTGTCTTGTGGTGTAAAAGAGGTTATATGTTAAATACTTGCGGTGTGGCACAAGTAAATGGGGAAGTAATTTTTTTAATCCTAGAGAAAAGAGGGAGGTGAGGTGTATTAATTAAGGTATTTTCTCACAGAAGCCATCACTGATTTAAATTTTCTGTATAAAAGTCTTGTAACTAGGTAAACTTGTTTCAGTGTATTTATCAATTTTATATAACTCTTCTCACAGACCAGCATTTGTTGGTCTAAATAATTGTATTGTAAACCTATACACATTTTGTACAAGGCTCTAAGGAATAGTAAAAAATGCTAAAAGCAAAAGGCTGTTATATTAACAACAAAAATGTTTAAAAGCACTCTAAACAGCTATTTTGAATGTTTCCATTAACTATAAAATAAACAAGGTTTAAATTGTACCAAAACAATGATAAGATAAAAATAAAAACTAAATGAAAATATACATTGTAGTACACATAATAACAATTATGGCCAATACTCTAAAAATCACCTAAAAAGTACTTCATATATGATTAATTATGTGATAAAGACATTGTATAGAATGCAATGCAATAGTTATTTATACAAAATATACAAATATGAGAACAGAAAATGTATAAAAAAACAATAGATAATTAATCAGATGTGCTGTTCGAAACACTTTCTGTCTCGCTAATACTGTCACCACTTGATGTTGGTAAATGCGAGGCATCCAAATAGCCTTCTCCACAACATAATTTTCGATTGTATCCCTGCCTCATGGCAAACCCCATATACCACAGGACTGAATTGATATGTGCACAACTTCCAACTGTCTTGGAACCTGCTTTACACTGGCAGTACCAGCCACTGATGGGTCTAGTTTTGCTATGGGAGGTCTGAATCCATAATGTGTAGGCCTACTGGTGGCTAACTATTTTGGCTCTGATTAAATTAGGTGCATCTTTGCATACACTGATTTCAAACTGGCCATCTAGCAGATGCTCATCAGTATATTGACTAGCTTGCTTTAAGCACCCCGCACACGGTAAGCAATTGGCGCGCGCCACCTGCGCTGAGCCAGATGCTCGCGGTCCTCAGCTCCCCGCAAACGCTGCGCTCTTTGCTCAGCAGAGGTGCCACCCGGCCTGCCCCTAGCGGACGCACTGTGAACTGTGGGATCATGTGTTTAAGGAAACATTACATATTGTTGTTTTTTCTGATAGTAATGGAAAATGGTGAACACGTTAATCAATCAGACTAACTATAACTGTGTACATTTTTGTTGACTTCGTTGGGGGCTGCCATTTTTGTTTGTTTCCGGCTATCGGCACATGCGCATTGTTGGCATGACTTGAGCAATCGGCGCTTGCACCCCGCACACGCTGAGACCCCCTTTATCGGGTGACCTTCTGGTAATTATTATAGGCTGTTGGTCTATTGTTTGGACTATTTACCAAGTCAATAGGTTTTCACTGATCTCCTTGACAAATAAAGCCATTCAGAGCATTTTGGTGATAACTAAAAGAAAAAAAACTCTACAAAACTATTATGAATAGTGCTGGTGTAGAAGATTAGGTCATAAGTAACAAAACTAGGGTGTGTGTGTAATGGAGTCTTTTATTTTACTTTTTATGCAAAATAGACATAAAAGGGGACATTTCACAACAATTTTGGTTGTACAAAATGTACTTTCATGCCCATTACAGGGGTTGGGTCAAGCCACCCTAATGTGTAGAGGTCTATTACAGAATGGGCCTCTATATAAAGTAGGAGCCACCACAATGTACATCTGCTATTATGATAATTAATATAACTTTGCATATCTGAAGCACATTTTCCACTTAATCTTTTTTAATCCTAAGAAATAAGAATGGAAATAAGATATACTTACTGTATTTGGACTCTATTTCCTATCCATTTTTTTTTTTTTTTGATAGCATGCATTACATGAAAATGACTTTTCTTTTTTCTTGTTTTTTTTTTTTGGTTGCAATTAAACTAGTTTACTGACTCTAACCCCTATTTTCCTTTCAAAGGCCTACATTTTTTTTTTTTGGGGGGGGGATGTTCTTTTTGTACAAAAGATTCACTGTATCTGCCTAGCCATCCTATGTAAGCATGTAGCAGCTACATGTACCTCATGGCAGGAATAAACATGGCCGACTGCTAGCATATGGACTGAAAATGTCCCTATTTAGTTTGAGTAAATATAAAGTCCAACCCTCAGACAAGCTGATTTTCACATATATCTTACCTTATATTCATGTCTTTTCAACAGTGAAAAATTAGCTTGTCTGAGGCAGGGGCTCATATAAAAAATGAACATCTTTTATCCTCAAGTCACTGTAAAGTTCTTCTTTCAATCAGCACTACATGTACGAAAAAAGCAATCAAAATACTGATCACAAACAATGATTGGCCACTTATTGCCTTTCTTTTTTACACGGGCACCTTCTGTACCCAATTACAAAATTTCACAGTTGACACCTTACTATTACTTTAGATATGTAGCATTGTTCTTCAGAACCCCCCTAAAACACACAAAAATTAAGTGGATTATAACAGTATAATATTGTTTGCAGTTATTTATATATATATATATATATATATATATATATATATATATATATATATAACTGCAAACAATATTATACTGTAATTCTACTGGGTTTCTTTGGTGTTGAAATGACAGGTCACTTTCAAAAATTAGCACACTCTTAAAACTGATCTGTTAAACTTAACCAAAAACACGTTCATTATTAAACAATTCACTCGGTCAATATACATCCTGTGATAGCTTTTGTCCCAACACATTTAGCGTAGGTAAAAAGGTGTAGGGCATCGTTACTAGTATAGAATTATGATTGTACTTGTAATGCAGTTTATTGTTATGCAAGGTATGACAGTAAGCGCCTAAGCTCGTTTAGCTCCTAAACACGGTACATGCCTGTAACCTGGATGTGTTTAGCGGTATGACGATATTTCTGAGATGTTCTGAGATTTTGCGGGGTTACCAATAAAATGTCATAAAAGTAAACCTGAATTTAATTTAATTTAATTGAAAACATATGTCAAAGGCCAAACCCAAATTCAGTTCAAATTCTCAAATTATAGCTCTCTGTTCAATTTCTGTAATAACACATTTCTGAGCATGTGTACAGATGATTTTTTGCAAATCCTCCAATTGTATGAAACGTAGCAATTTTTTTCATACTGATACTAATTTCATTAAAAATATCAAACTTAAAAGAAATTGACATAATAAATATTAGCACGAGCTAAAAGTGATCGATAACTTGAGACCGCTGTGCCGAAACTAATTTCCACAATTTATAGCCTGGTCTGTTATCCACTGGGATCCACCTCCCAAACTGGGGCTCTCCCGACAATACCGACTGACTCTGAATGAGATCGAGAGACCTGAGGGCGAGTCTCAAACGCTAGCTACTCGTGTAGGACATTACCCCCTCCCGGCACATTTTTTAACCACGTCAGTCATATTTTAGTATATATTGAACGCAGACGAAATAAGATGAAGCCATAGAAAATTATGCCGCAATCGCCGTTTTGAATGGTTACCCCCTCACCCAACCCTCAATTAAAATGTGCTCCCTGTGTGACTGGTAGAAATTAACGTGGGAACGTACAAAGGAGAGGAATGTATACATGTGCATTACCCAATTTACACATTGACCCAATCTTCATAGATTTCCCCACTAGAAGACACCTCTGTTTTGATACAACATATACTGTCATCTGCATCCTTTCAAAAAAGGTAAAATTAGATTCACTTAGGTGAATCCAAATAAAAAGATTAATACCCATGTAATTTTACATATACATGTAGGATTGCTAATTCACAAGGCAGCAACCTGTTGCACGCAGTTGAATAATCACAGCTGATAATTTTGTTGCAGCAAGGTCACATTTTATTTGCAGATCACGTAAACAACATGGCGATCCATTTAGAACGCCCTACCTTCATCGGCCGAGAAAAAGAAACAAAGCTTATTACAGATTCTTGGACACAGCATCGGATATTTGGTATCTATGGTCCTCCCGGCATTGGAAAGACAAGCTTAACGCGGGAGATTTTGAGACAGGTGTCTGCAAAGAGGTACAATGGTAGCCTATGCACCTCATTCGTGTCGATGCAAAGTGTAAACAGTGCAAAAGACTTCTTTAAATATGTTGCTCTTGAATTATTAGAAAAAACAGATCCTTTGCTTACCATCGAATCAACAACTGAGCGTCTTCTGCAGCGACAAATCTTCGCACATTTGAAAAATATTACGACATGTGTGCTGATTTTTGAAAAATGCGAACACATCGCCGAGTCTGCGGCAACTACGAGAAGTGTCAGCCATGACCTGCAGAATGTGCTGCTCACGTTTGTGTATGACGTCACAACCAAGTGTCCTGATGTGAGGGTCTTCATCGTTTCTCGCACCAAGTTACAATTTGCAAGACTGAATAGAATATATTTTGAGCTGAGTTTAATGCCACTTTGTATTTCAGACGCAAAAGCGTTATTACTTGACATAGTTTCCCACTCCGATGCAGAAAATGAGGGTTCATTTAAAGACAAAAATACTTTGACTAAACTTGCAGAACAATGTGCAAGATTGCCTCTTGCTTTAATCATTGTAGGTAAGTAAAATATATACTGTATGCATTTTTTAAAAGTAATATATCGCACAACTTGTGTATACACCTGTTATTCTAACCAATATAAACATCTCCCTTTAACATAAACTATAACACAACCAAAAATAATAACAATCTTTATTTTTTGGGAAAAAAATCCCTCTATATTTAGAGGGCCATTCAGGGCCATTCATTTTTGTTAAGGCTCCCGGGTTTTTATTACTACATATTTAATTTCTGAACATTACTTTTCTATTAAATAATTTATTCATTTTGTTAAAATATTTTCTTCAGAATATGTACCTCGAATTTTTCTAGGGAGCGTACTACGCGATGGTATTCTGAGCCCAAGTGAAATGTTGGACCTCATGAAGGAAGAGCGGCTGAAAGCTCTCAGTGACGATAGTTTCTCTGACTCTGAGATAATAGGTAGGTTTACTTTGGAGAATGAAACGTTCAGACAATTATCAATAATACTGTGATTTGTTAAGACACAAAATAAGGTATATATAGGATGACAAAAATGTGTTTATAAAAATCATATATGTTGGAATAATAATTTCACCCTTTCGAGTTACTTTAGCTCTCTTTAAAAGTAGCCGAATACAATGTAGAAGAAATTTAATATAGTATTGTTTTTATTTAGTGATCATATCGGAAAAATCACACGTCAACATTTTAACTAAGTAAAAATAAAGTTAAGACGATATATAAAAGATGTTTTTATTTAGTTTATGTATACGGTATGTGTTTTTATTATTATTTTAGATAAAGTGATAAGAAATCACCTTGCCCGACTGACGGAAGTTTTCAGACAGCACTTAGCGGCCATAGGTTACATCCCTGGTCATTTCAGCAAAGAGGCCGTTGCTGCAGTTTTGGGTATGGTTAGATACATCTTGAATATGTCATTTTGTCTAATACATGTATACAGCCATCCGAGACAAAAGCGAGAAGACGAATTTTGAAATCACCATTACGCCTGATGAAAGTCGGTGACACTGATGAAGCAAAAACCTGGGAGCTTGAATGTACAGTTCTTTTGTATATGGAATTGATATCAGCTGTGTCATTTCCAAAGATCACAGATACTCGAATGAAATGGTCTGACTTGACCGATATAAAAAAGTGTAAGATGAGTGGTATGAAGAGAGATATCACTGTATCTGAAGAAAACCTCTGTTTATTATATTACAAGATGCATTTGGAGTGTATAAATGTCTAATTTGTTTCACTCTAACCCTAACCTAACTCTCTCTTTTTCCTCCTCTTTCTCTCTCTCAGTAGACACTGAACTTTCATTTTATACAAGTAAAGACATGATGCATATTGAAGGTTAAAAGTCTTCTATTATATCTTGTAGCGTATTGCACATGGTAAGAGTTGAAGAAGCTTGGTTCATATCCTTATCAATACTAACACTGTTTTTAATACACGTCAATTAGACTGGTGTTCCCAATTTAATATATATATATATATATATATATATATATATATATATATATATATATATATATATATATCATAGGCATCAAGCAAGAAACTGGTGGCGGTAAAGTCGTGAAGGAACTATCAAGAGTGTCCATTATACATGAAGAATCAGCAGGATTGTCCTTAGTACAGAGGCAAAAGATGAGATATGACATCCACTCGTTAATGAGAGAATATGTGGAAAAGCATGTGCGGATAAGGGAATTACCAGGTTAGTTCTGTCAAAGTATTAAAAGGTTTCTGAACACAGGTAGAGTGTGCCATATGATATCCATTTTATCTGCAGTTACGAGAATTACTAAGTTTATGGTAATATTAAATTAATACAGGACTAAATCGTTTTGAGTATAAGGGATCATTTTTAATGAAACTATCGCTATACGTAGATCGATCAAATTCCACGGGATCTCTTGCTCAGTGCAAGCAGATTAACAGATTTACGCGACTCCACTTGGCGTTGAGAATAATACAGGAAAGTTGGCCATTAAACGGGCATGTTGGAAAAAAGAGGAGACGTGTTTATATGTTAATCTGATTGCATATAAAGAAGAAACCTGACGGAGTTGAGTCGATCTACGTAAAACAATAGTTTCATTATAAATAAGCCCTCAATCGTCTCATTCTAAAGTCAACATACTGTGTTCTTTCCAGAGGTTAGGCTCCGTTATAGTAAGTTTTTCGCAGATATTCTTCAGTGTGTTAATAACCAAATGCAGTCCAAGAACTCAAACACTGCCACTGCCACCATGGACGTGGAATGGAAGAACTTGGAGAAGCTGCTCACTCAGGCGATGCATTGTACTGAAGACAGCTACAAAAGTTTTATCAAAGTGGCTATGTTGGCAGAATACCCTATCATCAACTTTTTCCAAAGTATGTTATGTTTTATTTTTTATTATTCTATCCTAGAAATGGGTCAAGTCACAAGTATACAAGCACTGTAGTTAATTTGTTTGATTTGGTGTTTTGTATCTTGTCTGTAAAGTTTTATGCATATGAAAGTATTTGCTGATTTGCTTGTGAATATGTATTTGCTGTTTTTTTTTTTTGCCATGTCATCCATTGAAGAGAATTAATTCGAAGGCCATTTAGTAGGGTGAATTAAAGCATGCAGATGTTTATGGTATAATAATTCAAGAATCTCAAATACATAACTTTTGTTTATATATTTTAGAAACATGTTTCACTAACCGTACTATTAATATTATGGATAAGTTATTTATTATGCAGAGGATAGCATTGGCTTCTATGAAGACATGATGGAGCAGTCTAGAATGTTTGATGGTGCCGACCACAGACATCATGGACTTATGCTATCTGCATATGCACAAGCGGTGACCAATATTGAGGTACATAAATAATCATTTGATTTGCAAGACTTTCTAAATTTATGAGATATTTATGAATATCTCTCTTATTATTGGGTTTGATGGGAGTTTCAGCTCACGAAGAGTGGGAAGTTATTGCGAGGAATTTTATATTCATCCCTGATATCGTACGTTTTGTGTCCAGTTTGGTTTAAAATGACCCTACTTATTTTATGTAATGTTATAACATTTGCTTCGGCAATGAATTGTATTTGTATGTATAAATTTATATCAGTGCCATTTGTTTGTTTGTTTGTTTTTTTATTGTTGATTTGTTTTTGTTTTTTTTTTTTGTTTTTTTTTGTTTTTTTTTTT